TCTCTTTTAAAAACTCCTGGAACTCTTCTCCCTGCCCTGACCCAGCTCCGTCTCCAGTGAAATCACCCTCCGCTGGGGTCATTTACTCCCTCTCTGCCTCCGAGGAGTTCCTTTCCCAAGGAAACTCCGGGATCAGGAGTTTGTCCCATCGATGCAAAGCAGCAGGATGCTGAGCGCTGCCCTTTTCTCTTGCAGGTGGGAGCTCGGCGAAGCAAACGACCTGGGAAGGAGGGCACCGGGTACCGGCGCTGGCGTACTGGCCCGGCCGCATCCCCGCCAAGCGGACGAGCCGCGCTCTGCTCAGGTAGGATCTCATCGGGAAGCGGGACAACCCCTTTGCCCCAGTTTGGAAGGATGCACCGTCCCCGCGCTAGGACCCAGGTGACGATCTGGATTTGGCAGCAGGAGCTGCCCACACTGGTTATTTGCCTGCCATGTGCCAGACTCCGTACTTTTGTCCTCCCCTGAGCCCGTAACACTTAATGCTTCGGCAAAGAGGAGTTGAAAGGGCTTTTTGTGAGGCTGGTGGATTGGCGTGAGCAGGCTCCGTGTGCCTCCTGGCCGCGGTGGCTGAGTGCCTCCCGATAATTAAAAGATGACGATGTTCTCTCTCTCCACCAAGAAGCAGGCTTAGGCTTTGTGGTTTGTGAATGGCTTTCTGTGGAGGAGGGTGCGGTTGTGGGAAAGGCTGGCCGGAGCGATGGTACTTGCAAATGGGCGCAGGATGCGGCCGGGCTGGGAGGTAGCGAGCGACTTTTGCTGTTTCCAGCGAGAGCGGAGGGGAAGGGCTGCAGCCGCCCGCTCCTCGCCTCGCCGCGGAGCCCTGGGGGGCGCGGAGGGGCCCTTATTGCAGCAATATTGCGCCTCTCCTTGCAGCAGTTGCACCTCTGCATGCAGCGCTTGCAGCTCTCCGTGCAGCGCTTGCAGCTCTCCCTTGCAGCCACTGCCCCCCTCTTTACAGCCCTCCTTTGCAGCAAATGCAGCGTGGGGGGCACAGCCTGGGCTGGGGGCGGCGCGGTGGGATGCCCCGTCCCTTTTCGTCCCTTGAAGCGCATGGTGGTGGAGGGCAGGGAGCAGGGGGGAGTTGCTGGGTGTTGGGAAACTGTTCCAGCTGCTGGAAGCGAGTCCGAACTGGTGGGCGCTGGAGGCACTGGGTGTTTCTAAGGTCGATGAGATAAGCTGGAGCCACTTACTCCTACATGGCCTAAGGGCAGCTCTGGGAGCTGGATTTTTGCAAGTGGGGGAAGGTTCAAGGCGTGAGGTTGGGCACTGACGTCCGGTGGAGGGGATGGGGTGCCCGCAGCACCCCTTGGGTTTCACCTCCAGTCCCTTCCTCTCCCCGGCTGGGCGATGGACCGACCACTGGGACACGGCGCAGAGCTGCCAACCTGTGCCCGCTCGGTGCAGGAGCGGTGTCATCCCCATCCCGCTGTCCCACCATCCTCCTCATCCCCCTGCGCACGCTGCAGCCCTGCAGCCAAGCCCAGGCATTGCCTTTATCTCCTCAAAGACCTTATCTCCTGCATTTCCCAGCTCCAGTCCAGCAGGTTGGACAGCTGGAAATATAGAAAACCGGTGGCAGCACAGGCTTTGCTGCACGCTGGGCGCTCAGAAAGTGGCTGTGTGGCTCCCCAGGAGTCACAGCACACCCAGCATCCTCCCCAGCACAGCCCAGCATTGCCGTGGGGCCATGCCCGGATGATGCCCAGCTGTGCAGGGTGATGCCCAGCTGTGCAGGGTGATGCCCAGCTGTGCAGGGTGATGCCCTGGCATCAGGGAGAGACAACCCCCTGTTTGGGAGGCAGCACAGAGCCAGCCTAGGGGATGCGAGCGATGGCTCATGCTCAGAAAGGTGTCACCACTGTGGTCCTGGCCACGGCCTGAGCTCTTGGGCAGGGGAGGCAGAGGGACGTGGAGGGACGTGGAGGGACGTGGAGGGATGTGGAGGGATGTGGAGGGATGTGGAGGGATGTGGAGGGCAGGGGCTGCCCGGTGCTCGCAGTGTGTCGGGGCAAGTGGCTTTGCTGTGCACCTGGAGTCACCCTTGGGGACATCCCTCGGTGGACAAACATGTGAAATAGGGCGGTTGAGGACTTGTCCCCGCAGCTGATGGGGAAGACCAAGAAGCTGGGGAGGGATTGAAATCTGCGTGCAGATGCGGCTGGGAGTCCTCTGTACACAAGGAAGGACCTCTCTCTGGTGGGATCCCCCGGGAAGGGCTGGAGCTGGGCAAGGGCAGGCAATAACCGCCTGTGTGAGCCTCCTTCTGCCCCCCAGGTGATGAAGGTGCCGGCAGCCTTTGCCATCCGGCTTGGGAGAGAGCCTGCACCTCGCCTCTCCCCGGCACCGCTCGGCTTCGCATCCTCCCCAGCGCCGGGGTGAGCGAGGGTGGGCGTGCCCGGGGGCCGGGGAAGCTGAAGCCAGCAGAGAAATGCTGATGCATCGTCGCAGACCTGCACCCGCACGCCGGTTTCTGCAGAAAACTGCCTCGTCGGCTTTTCTTAATTGTATTTAATTGTTGGAGCCTCCCGCCGTGCTTCTGCCCTTCCTTGCCCCAACCCGAAGTAGGGCACGGAAGAAATAGGTCAGTGGGGTGGTGAAGAAGAAGCAAATTACACCACCCTGGCTGCGCCGGCGGCGTGGGGCTGGGCAGGTTGGGCGAGCCGGTTGGGGTGCGGGGAGAGCTGGTTCAGCTGCCTGCAAGCTGCCTGCAGCTGCCTGCGCCGCGCCATCGCCGGGGCAGGGCAGCACTCCCTGCTGCCGTCGTGCAAGTGATGCTCATCGCCAGCACAGCACCGAGGGGCAGAGCTGCCCGGCCCCGGGCGCTGCCGGCCCCTTTTCCCTCAGTATTTGGGGTGGCAGCAGAGTACTGGAGTGATTTTATTTATTAAACCTCTCTTGGCCAGGGCAGGGGGTTGCCAGTGGGGCTTCCCCTTCCCCTGCAAGCGTGGCTTCTCTTGCTTGGCCACCAAGATGTGCCTGCCGGCGGGGCCTTTGCTTTGATACCAGCTTTGACCAAAATCCTATTTTTTCATGCCTTTTTCCACGGGGTGCATCCACCGAGGGGATCTTTGACCATCTCTGCCCTCAGTCGTGTTGTCCTCCCACCTCGGTGACAGTTTCCAGCGGTCCCATCCACTGGATCGGGGCCGTTTGGTACAACCACGCGAGCATCCATATACACCGTGCCGGGGACCGGATCCCGAGGGTGCTGAGCACCCGTGGGACCGGGAGCGCGCTGACCGGGTCCTGCCCTGGGCTGCCATTTGGGGTGGACCCGGGCTGACCCCAGCGAGGTGCCTGCAGGGATGTGTCCTGCCTTGGGTGCAGCGGGGAGCCAGAATATTTTTCGGCGCCTCCCGGCTCGCCTGGCCGCTGGGGCCGTCCCCGCGAGCGCGCCGTACCGGGGCTGCCTCTCAGCAGTGTTTGTTCTTATTTGTTCTCTCCGTCTCTTAGCAGCTAAATTAAAACTCGTCGAATGGGAGAACCGGGGGCCCTTAAGCCCTGGGCTCTTCTCTCTCTCTCTCCGCTCGCGCAGCCGCCGTCGCGCACCGGGCAGAGGCAACGCGGTGGCAGGACCGGGATGGCAGGACCACCGCAGCACCCGGGGTACCCCCAACGCGGGGGACCTGGTGTTTTCACCTCCCCCAGCAATTTCCTTGCCCCAACTCAGCCCGCTCCCCCCCAGATTTCGACACCCTCCCCCCCCGCCGTGCTGCTGGCACGAGGGTTTGGCAGCCGGAGGGCTGTGGGCTGAGTCCTTGCCACCGGTGGCTCTGCCGGCTCATCTGCTGTGCCATGGCCTCGTCCCTGGGGAGGGCAGTGCTGGGATGTGTCACTTGGCCACGCTAACACCCTGCTGTCCCTCGGGGCCGTGGGACACCCCTGGTGCGAGGTGTCTTCTTTTAGAGGTGTGGGGTCACGCCACGACCACCTCTGCGAGCGGGAGGGAGGGATGCGCTCGGTGGTGGCGGGGGACGCTTGTGCCTCGCAGGAGCGGGCCGCAGAGGGTGGGGGGCAGACGCAGGGGCGGCGAGCCGGCCGTCCCCCATCCCACTGGAGCTGAGCCTAAACCCCACTGGGCAACACAGCTGGTGGAGGGGGGAGCCCATGCCCAGGCTGCGCTGGGGGGTGGCAGCAGGGCTGGGTGGTCCCCGTCCCACCCCAGCAGGGACTTTGCTCGACCTGTGGTCCCTCCGTTCCGCGGGGACCCCCCGTTCTGTCCCTGGGGCCACAGCCAGCAGGCAGGAAAGCGGAGGCTCTCCCCTTCTGCATCCTTATGGGGCCGGAGGGACACCGGGTCACTCACTCCCACCCTGCGTCCCCCCACGCCGGGAAGCAACCAAGGGTGAGCCCCGGGCGCTCTTTTGTGGCTGAGGCCCCTGAAAAACCCGAGGTTTACGGTGGAAATGCTGACGGGCGTTTTGGTGGGAGCGCACAAAACAGCACCGCTCTCATTTTCCATTCTGGCCGCGACGGCTCGTGCTGCGCCATGCAAAAGCGAGACCACATTTTCCTGGGGCGACGGGATCTGCTGTCATTGGCGTAAAAAGTCCCTGTGCTAGCACTTTCTCCGCAGGGTGACCTGCTGCCTTCCCCGCATGTCCCCGGGAGGGGGGACGGACAGACGGGAGGGTGGCGGCGGTGGCGGGGGGGGGGTGGGGGTGCCCGCCGTGCCCCTGCCCCGCGGGTGCGGGGTTTGCCGGGCGCGGGGAGCGGCAGATCCTTGGCTGAACCCGCAGCGCCTGGCGAGCAGCCGCGCCGGGGGTGGGAGGTGTGCGACGTGAGGGCTTGCCGGGGCCGAGTCACCTCTCGAAACCAGTTTTAACCTTTTCTGCAGAGCTCGGCTGTCGGGATGGGCTCTGGGAAGCAGCCACCCCCCCCTCACCCCACCCCTCAAAGCACTCCCCTGCCATCAGGGCATCCCCCCCGAGCGAGGGGCTGCGGGGCGCAGGTGGGGTTGGAGGGACCCCGCGGGGATCTTCGCTCCTTGCTCTGATGAAAGCCACCTCTTTTCCCAGCATCCTGGACATCTTCCCTACGCTGGTGGCCCTGGCCGGGGCGGCGCTCCCCCCGAACAGGCGCTTCGACGGCTTGGACGTGTCCCCGGTTCTCTTTGGGTGGTCGGATGTGGGGCACAAGGTAAGACAGAGTCACCCCCCCGGTGACATCCCCCTCCTGACAGCAGGTCCCACCGCCTCTGAGCTTAAACAGGTAAGCGGAGCGTGGAAAGGCTCAGAGCTGGTGATGTGCAGATCCACGGGAGCATCTTCCCCCGGGTCCGGAGGAGGAGGAGAGCCGGAGACGGCCGGTTGCTGCACCGGGGCTGGGCTTGGGGTACCGGAGTAAAAGGGCTTTTGGATTAGCGAAGGGTTTTTTTAGCTAAGAGAAATGCTTTGTTGATAAATCTGGGATTATAGGTGAAAATGCCTATGCATGCAGCCCGGCGTGCCTTCCCGTGCGCTGGCAGGGCTGTGCCCGCCGGCTCCGGGGGCCACCGTCCCTGGGGATGCTTGGGCTTGCCTGCCCCCATGGCAAGCCCCACGGTGCCCGGCACGGCGTGTCTCCTTCCCAATTGCAAAAGGTACGCCAGTGTGGGAAACAAAAGATCCCAGGAGCTCAGACCTGGTTTTACCCGCCTTGTTTATCTTCCCAGCTCGAGCCTTAATGAAGCCCTCCTTCTCCCAGCTCCTTGGCTGGGGAACGTGCCCCTTACTGGTGTTCAAGTGGGGCAGCCCGCCCCGTACCCTGCAGCTCTGCCCGTACAAAAGGAGCTGCTGACAGCTCTTTTAAGCCTAAAAAACGCAGTTAGCAGAACAAGCAGTATGGCGATGCATTTTTCTCGGTGTTGCACAAGATTTCTGCAGAACCAAAAGAAAAAGACAAAAAAAAAAAAAAAAAAAGAAAAGTGGCTTTAATAGCAGTCCCACAGATAAAGCCTGATTTTGCTTTTAAAGTCCACCCTCCTGCGAGCACCGCGAGCCAGCTCCCAGCGGGGATCTTGGATTTGCTTTCTGCGTCCATCAGGGTTTTGGTATTTGCTTCGTATTTATGGAACCCTCGCTGAACCGTGAGACAAAGCGGGGAAGCGGATGGGATGCGGCTAGCGTGCTCCGCTGTGCTCCTCGGGATTAACCCTCTTCTCCTGCGCCTGTGGCGCTGGGAGCGGGGGACCGGCAGTTTGCTGGGAGCGATGGTTTACTGGGAATGATGGTTTGCTGGGAGCGATGGTTTGCTGGGAGCGATTGTTTGCTGGGAATAATGGTTTGCTGGGACCGATCGTTTGCTGGGAATGATGGTTTGCTGGGAGCGATGGTTTGCTGTGAATGATGGTTTGCTGGGACCCATGGTTTGCTGGGAATGATGGTTTGCTGGGACCCATCGTTTGCTGGGAATGATGGTTTGCTGGGACCCATGGTTTGCTGGGAGCGATGGTTTGCTGGGTGTGAGGGCATGGTGGAGCCCATGCCAGATGTTCCCACGTGTTTCAGACCAAGGAATAAAGTCCTGAGCTAAAAGCAGGCGCTACCCCAGGCTTCCCCAGTGTCACCCCAGGCTGCCCCAGTGTCACCCCAGGCTTCCCCAGTGTCCCCCCAGCCCAGTTTTTTTTTTTGGAGGTGGTTGTTCCGCTGCCGGGGGCGAATTAACCCCTGCAGCGCTGAGCCGGGGGGCACAGCTGGGTTGTTCCTGCCGGTCCCGCAGCACGAGCGGAGTGGGCATCCCCAGGGGATGCAATCCCACTGCCCACGCTGCTGCTGGACGGGGTGACCTTGGGGACACACACACACTGCACCCCCCTGCTCCATCCCCACGGGGTGATGGGGAGCAAGCGCGTGTCCCCGCTCCCTCCCCTCTTGGCTCCCTGCCTTTCCTCTCCCGTTGCGAGCGGCTGACAGCAAACCCTCCACCCC